CGATGGAGACGTCGTGCGGTCGGAGGTGGATGTGCATCTTCTTCCCGTCTGAATTCACTGCGCGTGCGGAGCACGTCGATCTTGGGAAACCGATTTTCGTTTCTCGGCCGGATGCTCGTGAGTTTGAATGAAGCAACCCAATTGCTATTTGTTTTCTGAAGAAGCTCGCGTTTCCCTGCAGGCCCTTATGCTCGCCAGCTGAATGGCGCAAGAAACTGGAGCACCCCAATCACGACAGCATCCTGCACAACGACACTCAATGGCTGTTCCGAAGACTTGCTCGCCAAGACGAGGCGGAGGCCCCCGGCGCTGCGTCCATTGCGATGATCCAGAGCCGGGCGCCGCCTCCACATGAATCCCGAGCAGAACTACTGGAAAGCATTCGTGATGCGCTGAGGTTTGTCATGCTCCGTCCACAAGCGCCAGCTCCATCGTCGTCACTGGGCGAACGAGATCTCCGCCGAAAGGCAAGGGGGCAGATGGTGAATGACATCCGGACAGCGTTAAGCATGTGCCCTTACTTTGCGACAGATGAATGATGGGCGCCTGTGGCGCAGGAAGCGCGCTGTGATATTCAAGAGGAACAAGCTGGATCTTGAAAGGCTGGCAGATTTAATGTCAAGAGCTGAAGGCTCGCAAACCGCATGCGGATCATGTCGGCAGTGGTGCCGCAGGCTTGCGTCGGCGAGTTGGGTCGATTCGCGCACCCGCCAGGATTTCGACGACTGCGTTTTGATGGGCGACCCCGCTCAGATAGAAGACGAGCTGCGTGAAGCATTCCAAACATTGGACACGCAGCACTATGAAGAGATGACGTGCTTGGATATTATCAATGTCGGAAGAGCCAGGAAATGCGCAGCCGTCGGCCTCGACAACCGGCAGGCCCAAGTGGATGCGCATCTTCATTTGCACCAGATCCTTGGCGTCTCAGTGAACTGTCAGATGGCGTTGCCCAGAGAATACAAGGGGCATTGCTACAGCGATCGCTTTCTCGGAAGAAAATATTCGCCGCGGCCCAGCACGTCTTTCTTATCCCGCGGAGCAAGGGCTGCGTCTGTGCCGGACAACGTCGCGCCATTCTACATATGCACGGCTGCCTTCTCTGGTGCTTCCCTCGCGACCGCTGAGTTGAACGTCGAAGTCCCCTGCGTAGCAGTCCAGCACCGCATCGTGGCTCAATATTAAGGCATGCGCGATGACGCAGCGAACAAGACACATCCATAATTTGCTCTACATTGCACCTCGCCCACCGAGCGAGCAATCGAACACTGGCATCCCCCAGCCAGGACTTGATCGATGCCGTGGACGATGCTCGGAGGGACAGCGCGCAGTCAAACTTGTTGCGCGCCGCTTGCTTGGGCAAGGGAAGCGGGGGGGATGGGGCTTGCTTGCGCGCTTGCACGCTGGAGGTATCGGGTGGAAGTTTCTTTTGGGAAGAGTAGGCGGTGGCGCCAATGCTTGCCTGCGCCCGCGCCCCCCCCCGCTTTGCTTTGATGCTTAACGGGTTGAGGCGGGGCTGCTGGACTTGGACTCGCTGGCTTGCGTTTTCGCCGCAGCGTTTTTTTGGTTCCCTGCCGGGGCAGCCCGGGGCGATCTTCCGTTGCACTTTTACATCAGGAACGAGAGAATAAATAGGTTCGGAAGCTGATCGCGCTAAGTATTTCCGTTGGTTCCACAGATGTCGTCGCGACCATATTCGACGAGGCGCGGCTCCGATCGGGTGCTATACCGACTGCCGCGCCACAAGATTTAGCTGGCGCTCTTGCGAAGGACGCTGGAGCGGCTGCCTCGCGGACAGGTTTTGCTTTTTAGAAAACAGCAGTCACGGCTGCTCCTCGACAGATCCCGCGCGCAGTCGGCGAACGCGAATTGGAGTTTGACAACAGGTTGAAATTTCAGGCAATCGCTGGCACTTCTACGTGCGCTGTCTTCGTTCGCGCGAATGCGTTGAACATCGAAGGGCCGTCGGCGGCGAATCTTTGCGCGAGGTTCCTGCGATGGCCTTCTCACATGCGAGACTATGCTGAAAGCGCGCCCTCAGCTGCGCGCGGCCACCGCTGGGCCCGACTGGCAAACTACGCCTGGCGCGCATATTGTTCACGAGCCTCCCAGGACGTGCGATCGGGATGCTGAGCCCGTGGGCCAGCCGCGCATCTGGCGTCGTCTTCCAATTTGACGGCGGCGTCGTCTCGTTTGATGAGGTATTGACGGCCCCTGTGCGGTTTCAGGCTCGGGATGGCTAGCGCGCGGTCTTGAACGGCGTTGAGGAACTGACGGTCATTGCCGTTGAGCTCGACGAGCTGGGCTCTTGGAGCTCGCAGCCGAGGCGCAGATTGCCGGCCAAGCGATCGCGCCCTGACGGCGCGGCTCGACACACACTCTACAGCTCTATGCGCGGGGGGCAGGCGGAGTACTTGCCGAGTGGGGGCGCAAGAGCAATCTCCGGCATATCCCCCAGGGAAGACCAAGCAGTTCGAATGCCCCTCGACCAAAAGTCGCCGCCCTCGCTTCGGCGGATTACTGATGACGCGCAGTCCAACGAGGGCCGCGTCACGCGGTCAGTTGCACGGATCAGACAGTTGCGCGGTTTGCGAACTCGCGTCGAAGCAATGCCCGAATTGCGGCTCAGATTACAGACGCAATGTCACGAGACGTTCTGACGGCTCTAAGACAAATGCCTCAACCACAAGGAGATGTTAGATGCCCGCGTGCTCTTCGTTTCTCCGGCCGTCGGGTTCACCGTCGCACGCCTCAGGCGCGTCGCGCATGACATGCTGGCGGGTAGAAAGGCCCCTGGACAAGAAGTTTTTTTGGATGGAGATGAAGGGGTGCAATCAGTCCGACCGCCCTCTCCTGCGCCACCTTCGTCTTCGCGACAATCTATGGCACGCCGCAGAGGCGTTTGCTCTCTCGGAACTCAGGCCTAGCAAGATATTGAGATGTGATGTTACAGGCCTGTGTCTGAGCTTTATTCCAGCGGGGATGCCCTGATGCTAGACTTACCGCCCGGCGGGACGAGTCTGGGATTCGACGGTATTTTCGGGGCGCGCAGAACCTCGGAGGAATGAGTGGGCGCGCGAAACGCCCGCGCCTGCGCGAAGAAGGAATAATCATTCAGAGGTGACCAAGGCCGGGTTCGCTCCGCATTATGCAAAACGAAGGACACCGTCGGGGCAGCCGTTCCAGATCATACAGCCGGGTGGGTTTTCGTCGTGGATTGCCGGGGAGGTGGCGGCAAAGTCGCGGCTGGCGCTGAGATGTTCTGCTCAGAGAACCACGCAGAGAAGCGCTCGCTGGTTGCCGAGGCCACCATGGGGAGGGGTGGTTCCAAGATCCGCACTTTGGTGCGCGATGACACGCGCCACCTGCGTCCGCGCGTGGAAGGGAGGCGCGCCAAGTGCATGGCGACATCCAGGCGTGGTTGATCGACAAGTTCACAGCGTGTGAAATCTCGCGCCTCCTACTCCTTCTCGCATTTTGTTGTTTTTCACTTCCTCTTCCCCCGCTGTCAGGTTGCGCCGGAAGAGCTACAAAGACGGCTGTGAGCTCGAGATTTTGTCGCATAAAGACAAGAAAGTAAACGCCGCGTTGAACTCGAGCCGCTCCGAGCAGTTCAACGCATTCATTCGACGTTCTATTTCTTATCAATGGGCTTCGAGTGGCATATCATCGTTTCTGGGTGCGTAGGCTCATGCAATACTTCAATGCGCCTGGAGTGCGTATCAACAAGTATGGCGGCTGCACGAACTTTGGATTCCGAGCGAAGGAAAGGGCGTTGAGACAGACGGCTCGCAAGAGATCTATTGTACGCAAGCGCGCAGCAATGCGTCGCTAAACGCCCGACGTCATCTAGGACGCGGTGATGATCATTTCGAGTGGCACGGGGGAATTTAACATAATGATACGACATTCCCTGGAGACGGCGACAAAAACATAGTCAGCAGAGCTCTATTTTCGTCAGCAGAGATTCCCGTGCAATTGTTCATGGAGGCCCGCCTTGTTTGCCTCCGTGCCTGTTGAGTTTAGCGCTTGTGCTGTGTATCTACGAACATCTCTTCTGTGAGAAAGTGACGTTGGTCGTTGTCGGCAGCAATGGTTTTCACGCGAATGTTCCGCGATGGGGCTGGGGTTTGCTTGCGTCCGCCGCCGTGGAACTCTACATGCGGGACTGGGGCTTGCTTGCGTCAAACAGGCTTTGAAGGTTGATTGCGTCGGTACTGATTTATTGTTGTCAAGAGGTGCTGCTTTCAGGGGCTGAGGCTTGTTTGCGTCAGACCGCTGGGTCTCACTGGGAGCTGTGGGTCTTCGCTGGCAAAGGGAGGGGGAGGGAGGAGGCCCAACGTTGACAACGTTGACAACGTCGACGTCTTGCGGCCGCGTCGATTGGGACCTCGGGTCCGCGCGGGTAAAGGGAACAGCAACGTTGACAACGTTGACAATGGTGATGTTTCGTAAGGCTGCATAATTTTGAAGTTCTGGGTCTGCGTTTTTTTTTTTGTCTCGGAACACGGGGTGGAGTCGACATCTTTGTCAGCGTTGCCAAACAGGCTCAAGGCGCACAGCGCCCCCCTCTCATAATGGAGGGAGGGGGAGCGGGGAGGAGGGATGAGGGACGATGACGGGAGCTGGGTCAGGGGAGGTGAGCGTGGAGGAGAGTGGGGAGGAAAAGGAAGGATTGGGAGGCAGGCGACGAGGAGGATAAAAGGGGTTGAGTAGGAGTGGGGCCGGGAATGAGACGACGGGCGTTATGATGAGGCGGAACAGGAGCAGCACCAAGGAATCTCAACAAGAGGAGGTACCAGTGCAGGAGGACGGGTGATGGGGCAATGAACGGTGTTGATCAGGGGCAGGATGGGCAAAGAGGAGGAAACAGGTGGGCCGTTTTTGGCTGCGCTGTGCTGGGTCGGCCGTGCGCTGCCTCCGGGTCGGCGCTCGCGCGTCAGAGGGTCAGGCAGGTCGAGCGATCCCGCGTCGGCTCGATAGGGGGGGGTCGCGCCGAGGCGGCGACTCGAGGAACGAACGTGTGCCCGGCGCCAGAGGCGGCGCGTAGGCCAGCGCGTGAGAGATCTGGCACCACCTCCGCTCCCTGTAGCGGACGCCAACGTGTATATTCAATGCATGCAGTTTTTTTTGAATGGTCTCCATCACTCACTCTTCCCCCCCCCTCCTTCCTCCTTCTTTGAGACCTCGCCGCCCCTGGGGGGGCTGTGATCTGCGAGCCTGTCGTCACTCTCGTGGGCTCCTGGGAGGCCCAACGGGGGGGCGTGGGCTCCTGGGAGGCCAAGCAGAGGGGTGTCTTAAGGGGTCCGCCATGAGACCTCGCCTTCCTTGGGGGGCCGCGATCTGCGAACTTGTCGCCACTTCCGTGGGCTCCTGGGAGGCCCAGCGAGGGGGTCCTTATGGGACGGGGACCCCCATGAGACCTCGCCGCCTCTGGGGGGCTGTGATCTGCGAAGCCGTCGCCACGTTCGTGCGCTCTTGGGAGGTCCAGCAGAGGGGTGTCTTAGTCACGGGGACCACCATGAGACCTCGCCGCCCCGAGGGGGCTCTGATCTGCGAGACTCTCGTCACTCTCGTGGGCTCCTGGGAGGCCCAGCGGAGGTGCGTCTTACACAGATCACTGCGAGACCTCGCCGTCCCCTGGGGGATGCGATGTGCGAAACTGTGGTCACTCTCGCGGGCTCCTGGGAGGCCCAGCGGAGGTGCGTCTTACGCAGATCACCATGAGACTTCGCCGTCTTGTGGGGGGCTGGGTTGCGACGTTGGGGGGTCCAGCGGCGCTGCTCCCACGAATTATGTCTCCAATCGTCTCTCCTCATTGTGTTTCCACAGTCCCTCGTGGCTGCCTTCCTGCCAACGTTTTGACTCTTGAGAGCGACGCCGCATACGTGAACACGGGACTCTGGCCCGACGTTTTTTTGCGAAGCGTTCAAGGGCACGGCGGATCCTTCAGTGCTCGCTTTTGTAGTGAGCGGTCCGGTGTATAGTCGCCTCATGTTACAAATGGTTGGGTACGTCCTTGGGTAATTGTTGCCCGAATTTGCCGGATTTTGCTCGCGCGTGCGAACCCGCGTCGCTGCGCGACACGGCCCACTCAGAAGTCGGAGCATGCACATGGCCAAAGAGAGAGCGCAGAGAGGGGGGGGAGCTCTGAGGCGGCACCGCTGGAGGGCCCCATGGGATCCCCAGGGCGCCGAGGGATGCGATCGGGAGCCCGTGCTTCTTTTCGCAAGACGGCCCTCGGGGGGGGGACCCCCCCACAAGGCCAGAGGGCCTGGTGACCACCTTGCGCGTCGGGGCTGCCCTTGGCCGTTCTCACTGCGTCACGCGGGGGTCCTGGGCGGGCCCCGCCCGTCTTGGAACGCGTGGCCGTCATGAGGCCGCCTGGCGCCCCCTGGGTCTCGCTTCGAATGTTCTTCGTACGTTTTTCGGGGTTGTTCAAGGCCGCTTTCGGCTTGCGTCGGGCAGCAACCGCAACCGGGACCTGGAGACTCTTGGGAGCATTTTAGCCCTGCGGGTGGCCCCTTGCCACTGTGCCACTGTCGACACTGTATGAGCCAACGATGGGGGACATGGGCGCAGGTGGGTCACAGAGGACACGAGCCGTCCCACAGAGAACAGCTAAAGCAGTTGCTGTGTGTTGACAAGCAGGTGTGCGCAAGCACATCTGCTTAAGCTTCATTGGAAGCATCGCGCATTGCAAGGATGTGCGCGTTCATGTCGGCCATTGTTGTTGATAGGTAGCTACGCGCAGAAGGAGACGCTTGCTTAGAGCAACCGTCTGTCTGTTGGCTGATGCATGCATTGTCGTAGTTCCCGTTGATGCTCAAAGTTTGCACATGTAGCCCATGCGGTAGACGGCAATCTTAATCGCGCGTCTGCGCAGAAAACAGGCGTGGCAAGAGTGGGGCTATTTGTGCCAGGCTTGCTTGTCTTTGACACCCGCACTGTTATGCCTTCTCTCGGTGCCAACTTCGAGTCGGGGTGATGTCTTGAGACAGGGCACGGGCACATATCTCGGAGGTCTAGTTTTGATGATGCGGACAAGTTGGCATCACAGTTTCACACGGTCGGACTGCTTGGGCACGTTGCGGGCTGGTTGTGCGTGTTTTTTGATGCAGCGTGGGACGCCACCGTCGGAAGCCACCCCACGACTCCGAGTTGCACGCACCCCATCATCTCTCAGGGTTTCAGTCGAATTCGTGTGCGTATGTGTTTTTGCGGGTCTCCAAGGGTACGGCGACACATTGCTTTCAGGAATCTCTCTGCCATGCTGTCAAGGGAGGGATCCGATGCCCATGCATTGTTGTGAGATTGCCGACTCGCTGGCTGCGACACATGTGGTAATCTTGTCAATGCATGTCCATCGCGTGCGCAGTTGCTCCACGCTGCCAGAAGTCTGGAACAGGGAACCACATGTGCAGTCGTTGCCGAAGGTGAAAGTCCTACTTCTCCTGCTCTCGAGTTGCTTTCGACCCGTCACGCCTCTTGGACGTCTCTTGGGGCTTCTTGGGGCCCACTTGAGGGCCTCTTGGAGGCCTCACAAGGGGGGGCGGGCCTCCCTTCTGGACGTCTCGTGCGGGCCTCTCGGGGGCAGTTGGGGCTCCTTCTGGGGGCGTCTTGGGACCCTCATGGGATTTCTCGGGGGCTTGTCAGGCTCTCTTAAAGCCGAATCGTCGAGAGTGCTCCAGCCTGTTGGCCTCCAGGACGACCCGAGATGCCCCCAAGGAAACCCCAGGTCGGCCGCTTTGGGCTATCTGAACGCCAGTTGGAGGTTGACACCCGCGGCCACGCTCCCAGGGCCTCAGGAAACGTCATGTGGGAATTCCCGAGAGCGCCTGGAACTCGGGGGTTTGGGCCGTTTGAAAGTTCACTCGCGCTATTGAATACAGAGAACTCGGAAAAACCTGAAGACACTGGACTCAGGTCGGTGGCGAATATGGCGACGATGCCAAGGGTGAGGAGGAGCGTGGCGGTTTGATGCGGGTGTGCGTGTGTGTGAGAGAGAGAGGGGAAGAGGATGAACAACCAGAGGGCGAGTGGGATGAAGGCGAGGATAATACGGAGTTGCAGCAAAAACATGATGGCATGGACCATTGAGTTGAAGGATGAAGGAGATCACGGAGCGGGCAGAGGAGGACATGGAGGAGGAGGAGGAGGAGGTCGAGGAGGAGGAGGAGGAGGAGTAGGACGAGAAGCAGGTCCCATCCCTCCCCCTCCTCCTCCTCCTCCTCCTCCTCCTCCTCCTCCTCTGATCCCTCCTCCTAATCAGTAGGAGGAGGAATAGGAGGAGGAGGAGCAATGAGCAATGAGCAATGAGCGGGGGATCCAAATGAGTTACTCGAGCCTCATACCATAAAACTGGCAACGGACTCTGCGCGACCCGACTTCGAGGGTGAGCGGGTCAACCTTAAAAGAGACAGGGGAACCCCCTCTGGCAAGGCCAGCACCGCCCCCGAACGACGGCGAGCTTCGAGCGCCACGCAGGCACGTGAGAGGAGCCGTCTGAGGGACCGACTATAGACTGGACCTGCCGTGTTTTGCCCTCTGGCCCGTCCCCTTGCGTGGAGCCTGCTTCGGAGCCACAACTAAGGGGACCGGGGGAAGATCACGATTATAATATGTATCAATGCTCGTGGCCTGGACGGGTCGGGGATGGCCCCTCGGGCCACTGAAAAAGCTAAACGTTCACTGTCTACACAAGCACCCATACTCAGGTTTTTACTGCTCCGCACTCCTGCTTTCGAGCGCGAGCGGCTTCTCTCTCTCTCTCTCTCTCTCGCTCTGGATACGTCCACACGCCGATGGCTCAATCGCTCTTGCCCTTGTTGATCAGGGCGAGGAGGCGCGCTGCTTCCCTCTTCAGGGGCCTACGAGGGGCAGGCCGCATGAGCTGCGCCGCCTTGGAAACCTCCGCGTTGTTCAGGAACTGACTCGTCAACGACCTCGCCTCGCGACCTGGCGCGTCGTACGAGAAGGTGAACGTCAGGCGGCCTTTCGGCGTCTTGTCGTTGTCCTCCTCCCTAGCCTTCTTGCTCGTGTGTTTGTACTTGCGATACCTGAAGTGCAGCATAGGCTTGGCCACCTGCTGCGGGGTTTTCGCATTGATGTGCTGCTGTAAGTACTGATAGAACACCTTCTTCTCGCTTTCTTTGTACTGGTCGCTGCCATCGAGAAGCGTGTCCATGCAGTTGACGAGGTGGAGGGACACCGCCACCCACAGCTGCACAGGTGGTGGTCCTCTCGCGCGGCAGTAGATTTTCTCGCCGCTCACCTGGCGCTCCTTGAGGCTCTTTGAGACGGCGTAATAATTTGCGCCTGCGTCGATCATGATCTGGATGACGCCCTTGTGTTCTTCCTGTAGCTCCCATGTCTGAAACACCGTGCCTTCTAGGTTAGCCAGCTCGCGGGCGTCGTCGAGGCACAGCTTTGCCACCACCTTGACCAGCGCTTCGTACATGTCTCCCTTCTTCGCATTGCGCTGTCTTTCCTTCTTCGAATCTTTTGGTGGCGGTGTCGATTCTGGGGCCCCATCTGCTCCACGCTTCGCAGGGGCCGAAACATCTTGCATCCAGGAAGCCGCCTGCACGATCTGCCCCGTCGCAGACGCCGATGCTGCCGCCGACATCCCAGCCAGGAGTGTTGGACAGTCGTATCCGTTGCCTCGGAAGAACTGGGCCAGGCAGATGGCTGCGTGAGTGATGGCATACACCGTTTAGACCAACAGCCTCGAACTCGCACAGGGGACACACCAACGTCGATGGAGGCTCCAGAGGTCGTCGCGTCCTGCCCCCACCGAACCGACAATGCCCCCGTAGTACAGCTGAAACTAGATGCCTTGCTGCACATGCCCTGTCCCAGAATGCTTCCCGACAGCATATGCATATATTTGCTGGAGCCAAGATATTACATAATGATCGGCAATCATGCCGTAAACGCAGATGAGCCATGAGCCTGTTGGGGTAAACCTTGCCCCGCAATCTTCATCTTGGTAAACAAACCCAGGCTCTTCAGGATCCGCAAAGACCTCGGGGTTAGCCTCTGGAGCCTGCTCGGTATACCCAGGGGGGGCACCACTCGGGAACCAAATGGACAAGCACGTACCTCGGCGAAACCGATGCGATCGGGCTCCTCCTGAACCTCGGGGCCCCGCATGAGCCCAGGGCGAGCAGCGAGAGAACCCGACAGATCCTCGTGATCGCGCAAGAGTCCCCGTGCCCACTCGAACTCTTGGGCGGCGCGACGAGCCCGCGGGGAAGCTTTTGAAGTAAGAGTCCCCTCCGCCATGGGCGCCCCGTGCGACTCGACAGGTACTGAACCGAAGAGGGCCGAGGGCAACTGCAGGTGGCTGGAGGGAAAGCGGGCCCAGGCCTTGTACCAGTTCAACCGCTCAATGCCGAGCTCAACGTGCGCTTCGCATATGCGCCAGCGCTGCGAACGCCCTTTGACGTCAACGCGCGAGTCGCTCCAGCCTCCGCCTTCCAGCTGGCGCGCCCGCGCATGGCCGCGCGAACATGGCGCGCCACTGTGGCGCCCAAGCTAGCACGCCGCTTCTTCGCGAGCAGAAGCGCTTCCAACCCTCAAAGAGCTGAGTTCTGAACCAATGACATAAGCAGTGAACGCGCAAGCTTCCATGGGAGGCCGAGAGGCCAGCAGCCGCCCATGGAGACGAAGGCAGCGCGCGCGGCCTGGTGCCGACTTGTTACCTCCTGACTGGATGCCAGGGACATGGAAACGCGAGGTCCAAGATATCGAACGTCTTATTTTAGAACTCCCGAGAGGAGAGCCCGCCCAGGCCCGCGCACCCATTGGTTACACATCATGCCCCCCCCCCCCCCCCCCCCCAACACACACACACACGCACACGCACGCACACACACACACACACACGCACACACACACACACACACACACACACCACACACACACCACACACACACACGCACACGCACACGCACACGCACACGCACACGCACGCGCACGCACCTCGATCCAGACGACGAGATCCTGCTTCCCCCGACGTTGTTGGCACCCATCTGCCTGGGGGAGGGGTCGGGAATATCGTCGGAGTGCTTCAACTTGGCCAAGAAGGACCCCATAGAGCCCCCAAGAGGTGTGAGAGTGTAGCGGTACAAACCGTCCGCGTACTTGAACAGGCTGAGGTCGACTTCTTGGCCGTTCCATTCAGCGCGCAGAAGGGCGAGGGTGGGGTCCACTTCCTTCAGGGCATGAGTCCGCCTTGCGATTGGACGACAGAACGTCGTCGAAAAAGCAGCCACCGTGAACGGGCCCCCCCATCGCTCCCCCAACTTCCGTCTTTACCGCTAAGTCTCCCTCATTAGTTGGTAGTAAAACGACCGTGTCCCGATGCCAATGCTCACATGAGACAGCATGTTCAGGCTGGACTAGCGTTGGCAGTATTGCCCAAAGCACCCCAACTCGTGCTACCGACGGCGTTGCTCACATCTTTCAGGCTGGCCCCGAAACTCCACCCCGCGGCGGGAAAAGGGGGGGGGGGCGGAGGGGGGGGGGGGGGGAAGGGGGATGAGGGGGAGGAGGAGGAGCGGGCGGCGAAGGAGAGGCTGGATGAGGAATGCCGTTGAAGTAGGACGTGGAGGGGGTGGTGGTGGATGGTCATGCCCATTTGGAATGGCGCCCTCCTGGCGAGGTCCGTGAGGGTCTACGTGTGTACACGCCAGCGTAGGGCCCAGGATGCGACTAGGTTGAAGTAGTACACATTCCAGCATTGGAATGGCGCCATCCAAACTCGGTCAGCTATGCAGTGCGTGGCGTGGACGGTTCCCCATCCCACCCCGCTGCCAGTCTCCCTCTTCCAGTCCTCGCGCCGCGAGGAGGAGGATTACTAGGATTACCGCCATCGCAGGTGCGATATTACGTGAGATGACTACTCCCCTCCCAACGTGTCAGCCTCATAGCCAGCCTTGGGGTGGGCCCGCGAATGAGCCTGTCGAGGTACTCGCG